ACAGAGAGAGAGCAAAAAGAAATAAAAAAATAAAAATAAAGTAAGTTAGTCTATGAATACAACGGGCATAGACCAATACAACGGGAATATGAGAATTAGTCTGTAAATACAACGGGAACAGACTAATACAACAGGAATAATAAAAAAATGGGCATTAATTTATTTTATTATACTCTCTATAGAGTGTATAGAGAGAGAAAGAACAAAAAAAGAGTATTTTGGAGTAAACAACTTAAAAACTGCCTGAAAGGGAAATAATCACACTAATCAAGAGAATAGAGCGAGAGGAGGGTGGATACATGAGTATAATCAATAAATAATCAATAAATGACTAGATAAGGTCGGATAAGGCCAGATATCGTGTGATACGAAAGAATAAAGGGCTATACATGGCAGACAGGAAGAGTACAGACAGAGTATAGACAGACAGTGAATATTGTAATTTAGTAATTCTGAGAGGTATTACACTCTATACTCTATACTCTATAGAGAGAGAGCAAAAAGAAATAATAAAATAATAAAAAAGTAAGTTAGTCTGTAGTTACAACGGGTATAGACTAATACAACGGGAAATAGAAAGTTAGTCTGTAATTACAACAGAGACAGACCAATACAACGGGAATCAGGGAAAATTCGGAATTATTTTATTTTATTATACTCTCTATAGAGTGTATAGAGAGAGGATATAAAAAAGAGTATTTTCAGATAAATAACTCAAAAATAACCCGAAGGGAAATAATCACACTAATCAAGAGAATAGAGCGAGAGGAGAAGGAATACATGAGTATAAACAACAGATAATCAACAGATAATCAGACATAACCCGAATTGTCAGATATGGCATGAGAATGAAAAATAAAGGGATAAATATGATCGACAGGAAGAGTATAGACAGAGTGTAGAATGAGAGAACGAATTGTAATTTAGTAATTTTGAGAGGATAATACTCTCTATAGAGTATACACAGAGAGAGCAAAAAGAAATAAAAAGAAAAATAAAGTAAGTTAGTCTAGGATTACAACGGCTATAGACTAATACAACGGGAATATGAGAATTAGTCCATAATTACAACGTAAACATACTAATACAACGGGAATAATAAAAAAATGGGCATTATTCTATTTTATTATACTCTCTATAGAGTGTATAGAGAGAGAGGATATAAAAAAGAGTATTTCAGATAAACAACTTAAAAACAGCCTGAAAGGGAAATAATCACACCAATCAAGAGAACAGAGCGAGAGGAGGGGGGATATAGGAGCATAATCAATAAATGATCAGATATCGTGTGATATAGTCAGATAAGGCCAGATATCGTGTGATACGAAAGAATAAACAGATAAATATGATCAACAGGAAGAGTACAGACAGAGTATAGACAGACAGCGAGTATTGCATTTTCATAATTTTGAGAGGTATTACACTCTCTATACTCTCTATAGAGAGAACAAAAAGAAATAAAAAGAAAAATAAAGTAAGTTAGTCTGTAGTTACAACGGGCATAGACCAATACAACGGGAATATGAGAATTAGTCCATAATTACAACGGATATAGACTAATACAACGGGAGACATAAAAATTCGGAATTATTTTATTTTATTATACTCTATACTCTATAGAGAGAGAGAACAAAAAAAGAGTATTTTCAGATAAACAACTCAAAAACTGCCCAAAAGGGAAATAATCACATAAAAAGAGAGAATAGAGTGAGAGGAAGGGGAGTATAGGAGTATAATCAATAAATGACCAGAAATAATCAAATATCGACAGATATCGTGTGATACGAAAGAATAAAGGGTTATACATGGCAGGTATAAAGAGTATACATAGAGTATAGAAAGAGAGAAGGAATTGTAATTCAGTAATTCTGAGAGGAT